TTTATGTAGGATGCTACATAAAACACCTCACTTCAATCCTCTTCCTGTTAAAAGAATGTTTCAGATGCAAATGATGATTGCCCAAATCTCCTACAGTCAACACAAGGTTGACGACCTCTTCTGAATTGTGATCTGTAGATCCTCCAGATTGAGGAGATTGGTGAGGTGAACAGCATCAGAGCCATAATCTGTTCATAGCACTTCAACTCTCCTTAAAATCCCATGTTTATGATTGTTAATAATAAATGGTTAAAATGTGAATCTGATCGTGTTGGAGTTATTTTTGTATCTAAAATATATCTTCCTTGCTTTGTTGTTTTTGTCTGGACCTGTCTTGACTGCATTTCTCTTGATTGTTTGAAAGAACAAGTCTTGGTTGGAGTCTTTGATAAACATGGTAATTGGGAATCTGAAGCTTTCTGTTTCAAACATTCACATCAGATATGAGGACACTGAGAGGTGAGCACTCTTCAATCCTTATTTCAATCATCAGCTTCATGGGACCTTACTGATTTCCTTTTGCAGCAATCCTGGCCATCCTTTTGCAGCTGGTGTAACTTTAGACAAGCTGTTAGCCGTCACAGTTGATGACACTGGACAGGAGACTTTCGCAACTGGGGGTGCACTGGAGCGTATTCAGAAGGTTCTGGTTCTTTGAAATTATAAATTATGCAGATATAGGAGATATATTTTAAGTTGCAGTAAAACCTTTATTCCATCTAGGAGTAGATGCTCCTATATATCTAGTTTTAAGAGATACGAGACTCAAAAGATATAAAACCTCTCTTTTATCTATGATTCAAACAAATGTATGTAATGGACCAATTTACTTTAACTGTGCTCCAAATTTTTCAGTAGATTTAACAGATCCACATGTTCTGAATTCAGTCATATTAGATATTCATTTACAAGGAGATGAATTTGAAAAACACACTAAGAATTTTGCTATAATCTATAGAATGTATTATAGACCATTGTCTTCTCAATTAAATCCGAAATTTATCATGACTCCAACTTTAAAAGATGAAACAACATTATTACAAGTTGATGTAGATAGACCTACTACTTATACTCCCAAAAGATTAAAATGGAACGAAATAAGTATACCTAATGAATTTATAATTCAAAATCCACAAGCACCAAGAAACATAGAGCAAACGAATGTAGAATATATTATAGAAGAACCTGATGGAATAGTTTTGTTAAGATTTTCTTCATTTAGAGAAAGATCTTCAACTTCAAGTCATTCATGGATTCCGGCTAGAAGATCTAGTTATGAATCAATTGATACAACTTTTATTCCAGAAAGTTCATCAACATTTAAATTTAAAACTCCTGTTCCAGAAGTAATCAATCAAAATAAATCAGAATATTCCCCAACACATTCTCAAATGCGAGGTGAAATAAATGTAATAAGTAAAGAATATAAAATAAATCATAAATATTTACAAGAAGATTTTGATGATGAAGAAAATACAGAAAAAAGAATTTGGTTTTTTCAATTATCGCCAGAGTGTAAAGAAAAATTAATATTAGAATGGAAAAAAGAATTAGAAATAGAAAATTTGATTTTCCCTTCTTTACTTGGTTATCATTCTATATTTCAAAAATAGGAATAATTGATATACATAATACACCACAGATAAATGTTCAAACTAGTTTATATAAAAAATGAAAATTAAAAGACGATCAAGTAGTAACCTCAATTCATCCTCCATTACAAGAAGTAAAAATTAATTTAGGACAAGGAGAAGTTATTGCATCCCCTTTCAAAAAAGGACGAGAAGCAGAAGTAAGTAGTACTAGCAATAATGTGAATCTAGATGATATTAAAAAATTATATCAGCAAAATAATTACACAAATCAAATTCTTTATACTATATCACAACATATAGAAGTAATAAGTACTAAAATAGACAGTATTCAGAAATCAGTTACAAAATTTCCTAATGATGTTTCAGCACCACATTTTCAACCTAGAAGCTTAACAAGAGATAGAGAGCAAGAATTAATTCAAAGTGTTAATACTCAAAGAATAAATAATACAGATAATATATTAAATAGAATTTCTAAACATTGCAAAGTCTAACAACAGAAGCTCAGACTCAAACTCCTAGAATAAATACATTAGATAATATAATAAACGAAGAAATATCATCAGAAGAATCAAGCTACTCGGAAAATGATGAAGAAATAATTTTACCTATAGAAGAGCAATTTAAAGAAGAAGATAACAATCAAATAAATAAAATAAGAAGAAGAAGACCTTTTAAAAATAATAAAAAAGATTGGCAAATAGTAAGCACTAGAAATTATTATCCAAGACTTAGTCCCCCAGATATTCAATATGAAGAAAGATCAAAATTTTAAAGATGAAGTCACCTACTTTACTTTTTCATTGCTTGGGTAGTTATGATACATTGATAGTTGTCAATTTTGATCTATATCAATATGAGTAAGATTAAGTTAAATTCATTGACAAATTATTTAAGTTTAATTTATCTATTTCTTATTATTAAGAATTCAAATTTTTACTTATCACCAATGTAGCTAAGAACCTAAAAGATCCAAATATTAAGAGTTGCTTATTCAAGATTAAAAGCAATTCAGTTAAGAACTTCAATGAAAAGTAACTCTAACTTATAATTTATGAGATAAATTAAATTTAAAGGACTTTCTGTTCAAACAAACAAAGCCTTTAGTGATGTTCTCTCTTTTTAGGAAGTCAATTGTTTCTTGTAGGCTCTATTTGACTATAGTCTAATATAAATAATTCATTTCCTTTAAAATTTTTTCACCATACTTCTCTTGAATACAGCTTTGAAGATGACCGCATCCCAAAGTAAATTCTTATGGGAGGACTTACCTACTCTATAAAACACTACTTCCTATCTAGTAATGAGTCCAACTTGGACGACTCGAGGGATTGTAGACAACTAATGAAAGGATGCTTTCATCGAAAGGATATTGAAGCAAGGGAAGATATTGATTTTAAGTCACGTTTTTTATTCTTAGCGAAGTTACTATTTTCATTAATCAGAATGTAAGCATATAGAAAGGATAATCAACTCAAATACGCTAAAATAAATTTAAATTTGTAATTCAAATATTGTATATGAGATATACATCCAATTGTGATAATATATATATAATCAGTCTGTACAAGATTTATTCAAATTTTATGTGTCACATTTATCTATTAGACTAATTTTACCTACAGTTCATGTACCAAAACTAGCATCATGCTTGGTTACTTGTTGGTTACATATATATAGGTCATGACCCTCATAGGGATTTATTTAGTTAGTTTTAGAATTTGAAAATGGTAAAAATATCCTCACATTATCTGGTAATAGATTTGAGTTAACTTGCAAGAGTCAAGTAAAATACATATGAAGTATCAAGTACCAACTTTCCAAATTTTGAAATTTCAATTGAATAGCTAGTGGCTGTGTAGCTTGACATCTGATGAAAAAGACAACAAATATTCGCAGCTTATATTTATATATTGAAACTATTCACATAAAAATCTATAAATTAATCTTTTATACACTGATAGTGTATACACTATCACCCTTGAATGCATGACAACTCATCTAAATTTAAATTCAAATTCCAAATTTTGCTTATGTGTCATGCATCTAACCGTGATATACACTATCATTGTATATAAAATTTACTCAAAATCTATTTACCTAAGTTCACCAACTTTGTATTTTGGCCCACTTTTACTTTCCAAATCAAATAATTAACCAAAAAAAAGAGGTGTCCATTTTTCCTTTGAAAGGACTTTTTGATCGTAAATATGAGAATTAAAATGAGTACAATATCTTACAAACTATTGCATTACCAACCAAATTTGTTGAATCACAAACCAAAAGATCTTAACAACATTTTTATCACTATTTTTGGCTTGTTCATACTATTAGATTCCCTAATGTATTTTTCGATTGTATATTGAAATTTCAAAGATATCTTTAATATGTAATTGAAAATAACCACTTCTCTCCCAAATACAGTATTACAGTCTAGAATATCACAAAACATTGCGTTAAAGGATTCAATTGCATACTTCTTAGCCATTGCTACTACATCATCAACATTACTAGGAAGACACATGGCACATTCTCAATTTAAAATTCCTTTTCACCAAGAGAACAAACAAACGTGCAATGTCTCTAAACAAAGCAGATCCTCTTTGCAGATATTTTATAGGTGGTGTAGGTTGCATAACAAGACTTTCACATGGAAAGGTACTTAATTTGTAATTAGTGTAAATATTTCATTTAATACAAATGGGATGGATGGAGTAATAATTTGGTAAAGTGATTCAAAATATTAGTAATTTGTGATGGTCAAACATAACTTTTAACTGATGGAAATGACGATTACATTTCAATTGGCCTTGGAATGTCCAATGTGTGGATTGAGAATGCTTGTTGTGGCTCTAAATGTGGTTATGTAACTAGTTATAAGTTCATTAGATTCTATGAAATTATATGATTCAAATGCCATTTGTTTATAGGTAGGAAGATGAAGGTACTATTTAAGGGTTTGATTGGTAAGGTTATGTCACGCATTCATGGTTGGAGGGGAAAAATGCTATCATTAGAAGGAAAGATAGCGCGTAAATTATCTTAAGAGATGTGATCCCATCTAATCGCCCTATCAAAAAGTAATACGTCTATTCAAATGTGATGGTGGGTCAAAACCAATGTTTTAAAAATCAAACCGGATTGGCCGGTTCAATCGGTTGAACCACAAACCGGCCATAGCTCCTGTCCGGTTCATAGATTAGATTGACCTGACACAAGAACCGGTCAAAACCGGAAAAAAACCGTTCAAACCGTATAAAACTGTGAACCACGGTTTTTTATTTTTAAAACATTTGATTCCTTATTTCGGTCAACAATTACTAACGACTCAAAGTCTCTAACCCTAAACTAAGACTAACTTTGCATTCGCTTTTCTCTCCAAATACTATCGCAGCCTCTCTCTGGTTTCCTTCTCAAGAATCAACTATCAAGACAAAAGTCCCGACTTCAATTCTCTTCTTCAATCTCCAATTTTCTTTGTTTTCATTTCAAACGTTGAAGCACTAGTTGTTCTTGCAAAAGTTGAAACACACGGCTTAGCTAGGCTCTAAAATTTCAAGCTATTACCAATTTACCAGGTTAGTTTTACCTTTTCTTCCTTTTTTTTTTTTGCTCTTGGTTGGTTACTTGATGTGTATATGCTTTTTATGGTCTGTATTTTTCCTATTTAACTTAAAATTATGGGTTGAATTAAATATTTTGAGTTGATTTTAAAATATGTCCACTGTTGTTATACAAACTTCAAAGAAAAAAAAAATCCAATTTTTACTCTATTTCTTGTGCAAGTTCAACAATTGATGATGTCTTTGTTGGGTCTCTGGCCAGAAGCAATGTATTTATTTAGAGAAATGTAGGTGTCTCAAGTTGGCTCGCCAGTTGTTTGATGAATTGCTTGAGAGGGACACGTTTTGTTAAATGTTGTAATGATATGATTATATAGCATGCAGTTGTTTGACCTTGCTGTTAATTAGATTCTAATTAGTTCCCTAGAGCCCATGGTCATAGTAGTTAATGGCATTCAGGTTGGCTCTATGAGTTGGGCAGTGCAATTGTCCGGTAATTAATGAATTATGGCTCTATCAGGTAGGGAGATAGATTGATTGAACAACATTACTTTAATGTCTATCTTCTTATGCATTCGTCCCTTTTGGGGGAGGACCATTTAGTACTTCCCTGTTTCCTCCTTGGGTAATTAATGTCCATCCCAATTATGGTCACGATGCATAAAGATCCAAAACCAGTGGTTGGAACTCTCAGTTTGGACTAAAAAAAGTTAAGAGGTTTTACATAGGAATAATTGTGTCATCCAATTGCCCCACTTTATTGACGAGGCCCCCTGAATTTTCTCATTCCACAAGCTAGAGTAACAAGTTAAAAGAATTGGGTGTTTTAGACTAACGAATTAACGCAGAATTTTGCGATGAAAATTTTGTAGTAATAGTAGTCGTTGATAACAAAACTACCAGTCGGCAAGCAAGCTCGCACTAACTTTTTTCCGTAATGTCTGAACAATAGTTGAATGGAATATGTTAATTTGAGCAATAACTTCTATCCAACTGTTGATTTTTTTAGATAATGAAGATGAAGGGAAAGATGTTGATTTAGAAGCATTTCAGCGTAGAAACTTTTTAATGATGATGAAGATGATGATTGGCATTAAAGATTCAAATGGTAATTTGTATGGAAATTATTTGTGTTCTTTTATTTTTTTTTTTCTATTTTTAAGATTTGGACTAATTGGTGTGATGAACTAATATGAACTTTGTACTTTTGTCAGTAGTTCATATTATGCTCTTGGATGATGATGAAGACTTGTCAAGATGGCTTTTTTTTCTTAAAAAACTCTGTTGTCCAAGAATGATGAAAAGGATGATAAGAGCCTCATAAATTAGACTTGCTTGGATTTTTTGACTGTTTTCTAGACTTATAAGAGTTTTTATATTGTTCTTTGTTAGTTCTAATATTTAGACTATTGGACATGTAACTTGGATAATATTGCTCTTATGTTAGTTGTGATTTTAGCATCTATAGTTCTATTGGATTTTATTTAGTTTCAAAAGTTTCAATGACTTTTATTTAATTTCAAAATATGGTGGTGGTTTGTATAGGGTCTAAGATTTTTTTAATGATAGGTATAATTGAGATAAATTTATTTGGTTAAATTTATAGTTCTAAAAATTTGTGTGTTTGGAAATATGTAACTTTTTATCATATGATATTTATGGAATATCTTAACCTGTGCGTAGGGGTGTGTGTGTGTCCATATATATATATATATATATAATTATTGAACTGAGTTGAACCGGTCCGACTGGTTGAACTTCGACCCGGTCACTTCACCCATTCAATTAACGGTCCGAGTTTTAAAACATTGGTCAAAACTAGGAGTAGGAAATGTCCTCTAAACATTTTTTAGTTCATGCTATAGTATCTCTATTTTGTGCAAAGAAGTTTTACATTCTAAACTGTCTAATTTCTATCAAAATAATTATGAAGTATGTCCCATTTCATAATGATGTCCTAATTAGCCTTTCTAAGTGGAACTATTTTCCAAGATGCCCTAACAAGCATAATAGTATTCTCAATAGTTGTTCCTTTTGAGCAGCATGAGAAAAATGCTTAAAAATGATTTCAGTCCTGACCCTCCAAACCCAATATAGAGTGATAGTTAAAATTTATCTTCTAAATCTATCCTCCAAAGTATTCATTGTTTCAATGATGGCATGTCCAGCTAAGTTCAATAGATTAGGGGTAAGAACTCTTGAGAATAAATTGCATAACTTGGACTTTTTGCCATATCCTCCCATAGAGAGCACATTTAAAGAATATGCGTGTCATTACCTCTTCAATAGCATTACAAAGCATACATTTTGAAAAACTATTAAAACACCTCCAAAGTCTCAATATATCTCTAATTGCTAATTGTCTCTTGCAAAGAAACTAGAGAATGAAAGAAAAATGAGGAACACTAGTCTTCTCCGATACTAACTTACACTATTCAACTTTGATTATGTATAGTCTCAAATATTTCAAGATAAAGCTAACTTAAAAAGGGACCAAAGGAACCAACCAGCTATTTAATTTCGTTTAGCTTCATCAAGACAAGGAATGAACAACTTCCTTACTTTAACAATACACTTTCAACGACTATTATGTTGTTTCCACGCTTAATTTAGTATACTTTTTGCAACAACATCAGTATCTTTTAATCTAAAATTTTGCAACAAGTATATAGAAACTTTCTTGTATAGTGGCCTTGTAGGATGCTAGTTGTCGTACAAAAAATTTGTATCAAGGCTATTACCAATAATTTGCTGCACTGAAGGATGAACTATACCTAGTTTTAATACCTGTTTCTACACCTAAAAACAACTACGAGGAATTTTAATACCTAAGAAAGAAGAGTTTCTAAACAAAATTACGTGTACTTATTTTACTCATAAACAATCCTTCATAGAATTTATATTTCTTACCACTTTCCGCACTAGAATTTGTTCAATAATTCTATATCACACAAACCTAGGCTACCATTCTAGGCTTGTAGATATCACTCCATTTTACTTTACTAAAACCAATATTTTGAAATTTAGTCTATTCATTGATCTAGAAAAATTATTGGGTCAAGGGAAATTGGTTCGATTGTTAGACCAACCATAATTGATCTGTGGTATCATAGTTATTTTAAAATATTAACTATTATTGTAAATTATGTAAAAGATAATTACAAATAAGAAAGAAGGACAAAAAAAGAAAATTATACTAACAATTTACAAAAGATGTCGAACATATGTATATATAATTTTTGAAAAAAATTATGAGAGATAAACAAATATAATATATCTATATACACACACACATGTGTGTGTGTGTGTGTGTTATTAGAGTGTAAAAAGAATGGAAAGAAAGAATATATATGATAGTAAATAGAGTTTTTCTTACGAGATAATTGAATATAACTCTAGTGATGGCAAATGTAATTAAATCCCGATAGTTATTAAATGTGGTTGATTAAATTTTAAAATTTTGACATTAATTGTATTAAAGGTAATAAATGATCAATCAAAACCATTATAATCCGCTAGTTTAACTATCGAACCAGCCAATTTAATTGGGTCAAACAATCTATTGAGCAGTTTGAAGATCTATCAGGTCTAGATAGCAAATCAATTGACGGTTCGACCAACCAATTCGGATTGGGTTTTAAAATTGTAACTAAAGTCTTATTTAAAGCAATTTTAATATTTCAAACTACATTATACTATAACCTCATCCAATGCTATTTCAACTTTCCAAATTACATTATAGAGAAAAAGTCATAAGGAGCGTAATCGAATTTAAGAGTATAAAAAAATTGAAATTAGAAACGAAAAATTAGTTCTTTCTAATTCATATTACAGATTTATTGAAGCAACCATATCTTGAGTTTATGAAAAAAAGAAAAGAGAGAGAGAGAGAGAGAGAGAGAGAGAGAGAGAGAGAGAGAGAGAAATTGAGCCTAGATACTTAGAAATGATAGGAAGAGAGTAAATAACAAAAGTTCTGGACAGATAGCGGTAAAACTTAATTTGATAGTATAACTTTGGACCACTACCCTATCTAGTATTTTTTCTATTAAGAAAAGTGAAACTGCAAAAGAGGGTCACAACAAAAACAAATAGACCCGTAAAGAGTTCAAAACATAGAAAGAGATAGGAGATGTCCAAAATTTTTAATCTATCTTAGATCACGAAAACGGTGAAAAAAGTTTGTTAAATATTCTTGAAGAACAAAAGTATGAAAGGGAAAAAGGATATAAAAATGAAATAGATAAAACTCCATTTAATATTAAGCCCTTCAAATTATGAGGAAAATGGATACCAAGAGAAGTATTTATCTTTTATATTCTTGAATACCAATAAATAGGACAGCAAAAACTTCAAGATCCATCTAAAATAAAACTGGAAGAAAGATTAATGGGGAAGGGGAGGAGAGCACAACTGAAAGGTTATTCTTTGTATTTTCCCCTATTGATCATAAGTTAAATGTGATTGTCAAAACTATATGAGAGAGCAGTAGACAACGAAAAAAATTTAAAACAAATAACCTAGTACTTTTTCCGTGTTCTTCTTGTTATTGATTAAGGAAGAAACATTTGCGGGGAAAAAAGAGATTTGAAGTGAAGAGCACAACTTGAAAGATTATACTTTTTACTCCTCCTCATGGATATTTCTTCCATTTTTCTCTATTGTTTAGAAAGCAAAAGATGATTGTTAGAACCAAATGAAAAGCAACAAAAGTAAAGTAAAAAAAGTAAACCAAAAAAAAAAAAAAGTAAATGGGTTTGGGATGAAGAAAAATATTTGACGTGTAGAGCAAAGAAGTTTAAAAGGTTATTTTGGATAGTTTGGAATTGAGAGAGAAGGGAAAAGAGAACATGGGTTTGATGTCTACAAAGGACAGAGAGTATGCGTGGTTTCTTTATTTTTTTTAATTTGTAAATAGTGTAGGATTTTAAAAAAGTTATTTGCTACTCAAATGATAGGAGAACAACAAAATTTTCTAAAGGCAACACAACTTCTTTCTATTATTTGTTCAAAAAAAATTCAATCTAAAACTGACAACCTAAACTATTGTACAATTCAAAATCTTCTTTGACTTTCCATATGTGACATTGATTTCAGTGTTTGTTGTGTTGTCAATCTTCCATTGACTCATATACATGAGAAGCAAAGTTCTAAACATTCAAGGTGTTGTAATTGTCTCTCTTTTAATCCTATGTCCCCTTTTTAAATCTATTCTTTGTGTACCTTTCATGAAAGGCTATGGTGAAATAATTAATCTTCTTTAAGTCTCTTGTTTCTAAGTTACGTGGTTCAACAAGTCAATTACTCGATATCTTCCCCACGTCAAAACTAATTTCCTTTATTTTTTCCTTTTAAGAAAAGAAGACTAACATGTACATAAATGAACAAGAGAAAAGATTGTAACCTATAACTGATTTTACTCACCGTAGTTTCTGTTAAATCCTACAATTTATATTGTCCCCTCTTGATATATGTCCAATCTTGTGACAAACATATCCAAAGGATCAACAAACAATAATCAATCCCTTGCCCTCTTATTGACATGCAAAATTGCATTTGCAAAGTAGATTCATGTGACTCAAGATGCACTTGATGATGCTATGGATGCAATTTGATTAACACTAACACCAAAAGAATCAGAATATTGGAGGCTCTAATATCAAGTTTTTAATGTTGTTTCAGATTTTTTTTCTTTTCTCTTTTTGTTAACTTTCAATGCTTGTGAACATTGTTTATGATATTGAAAAATTCTTCTACCTAAGTTTGATAATGGTACATACCAATTAGTGCGAGAAATGTATTGCCTCAACTTTTGAAATAATTAGCCTCATCATTGTCCATTTTTGCAATTTGATGGGTTAAATTTCCATTCAATATTTATGTACATTTGTAGATGATTTGCCTTAATAAAGTTTCTAATCATTACATTGAATTGGGAAATGATTCTTCTATTTGGTGACCTTAAGGCACAAAAGAAGAAAATAATTGATTCATATATCAAAGATAATTATTAAAACTCAATTAGTTGATCAATTTTTCAATCAAATCTTAACTACCATCCATTGATTTTTCTTGTATAAATTTACCTACACTTAACATATTTCAAGAAAAGAAAAAAGGCCATTTAAAATATTTCAACTTTAAAGATTGACAATAGCTCATATTCCATTCATAATTGCATCAAATTCTCATAGTCAATAGGAACTCCAAGTAAGGGAGTTTAGCACGTAATTGTGGCAAGTCAACTAACTCTCTTTTATCCTCAAAAGTTGTTCAAAAATTTCTTTTCCTTAATAGTTAATAGCATACACAAACTACTAAAAATATGAGGCCATAAAATAGCCAAATA